CACAGCGTGGCCCTGCGGCACTGGGCACATCAGACTGCTCTGTTTGCTGTTTGTAACGGGGAGGGTGCCCACAGCCTTCAGAGCTGTGAGAGGAACAATCAGGGCCGATGGATGCCCAAAACGTTTAGCAAAGCTGCTGTAACAACGGCATCTGATTTGGTGGAGAGGAATGATCAAAGCAGCACAGGGGCTACCATAAATCCACCTCCCAAAGTGATAAATGATGCTGGGAAGGTGAAAGAGGGAGGAGCAGCTGTGCTGCAAAGCGCTGGTAATACAGGTTTTCTGGGAAAACCTCCGGTCGTAAGCCCTAGCAAAATGCTATCATGGCTGTATGTGTAAATAGCTTCTGGCAGCTCTGTAAGTAAACTGAAATTGCCAGTGAAATTTCTGCCATTATAATGATGCCTCTGTTACAGCCTTTGCTAGCAGAGTAACGCTATAAAATCCCCATGTCCAACCAACAAATGCCAGCACGAGTTCTCCACCAAGGGAGGGTGAATTTCGTGTCCTGGCACCTCTGTGCCCTCCGTTCTGCTCAGGGATCATCATCCAGGAGCACAGCTGGGGCTTCTGCTTAGATGTGGGTATTTTGTAGTGTACCTCATTACTTATCCCTGGAAAGAAAATGTAACAGGCAGCAGACTTAAGAAGTTGAAAGCAGGGATTAAAAATCAGTGGACTCACTATATTTTCCCCTCTGATTTCAAGTATTCTGCGTGAAGTCTGAAGAAGTCCTTTGCTGAGCTGTAAGAGCACAGCCAGCGAGCATGCACACGGGGAGAGGGGAGATTTCAATCCCTCAATGAAATCTCTTCACCAAACTGTGCCCAAGATTGTGTAGAAGGGGTGCCGCTGAAAGGAAGAAATGCTCTGCTTGAAGTCCCACAGAAATCCAACTGCAAACCTGCAACTGGAGAAAGCACTCTGCCCGGCAGCCACCACGGGCAAGCCAAGAGCTTGTTATCCCGTCTCATTTCCCTGCACGTCTACTCGAGGGAGGATGGCCACTCCGTGCAATGTTTTCTCCTGTCAGGCATGAAATGAATCTTTAAATTGCTGAGCAGTAATGCAGCCAGCTACTTAATTTGTCAGGGTGACTCATGCACGATGGTATTAAGACATAGGGATTATGTTCTGATTTAGTTCCTCTGCTGTCCTACAGAAGCAGTTTCCTGCAAGAGAGGAACCAGCAAGGCAGAGGTTGCTTTTACAACAGCAGTCGTTCTCTGGAACTAAATGAGATACTAACCTGTTCACAAAAGCTAGAGGATTAAAACCCCACCTTAGCCACAGCTTGTAATTCACAGGATCTCTCTATGGCAGTTTTCCTTGGGTTTTGGTACCTGTTTTATAACAACACAAAGACCCTGCAACAACTGAGAAGGTCTGAGCCGCGGCTGCCAGCCTCAGAAACTGCACCAGCCTTTCAGTATTGCCACAGGGAACATCAGCCCTGAAATGTCGTAACCCTTGTCTCTTGAGACCTGATGCACAGATTTGGCACCGTTTTACCACTTATTTATTAAAATTGAAAAGCTTCTAAAGAAAACCTGGTGTTTTATTACAGTTTGCTGTGATGCAGACAGCTACATGGTTGGGTGAGACAGACCGAGATGGGAGCATGTGAGATGACACGGAATGGTGTGCGGGATCTGATGGGGAGAAAATGTAGCTCCTTAAAGCCTTCTTCCTCAAAATCAGTTCAGAAAACTGTGCTTGAAGAAGGGACGCAGCCCATACTCACATCTCTAGGACTGCTAAGAGTGAGCAGAGAAGTGGCGCTAAGGGCACGCGAGCCCTGGAGTGGGAGAAGGGGATGTCAGGTGTTTCCTCCTGCAGATGACTTGGCTGTATTTTTAGCAGAATCGCTGAGACCATGGGTGGCCACCGTTCGTGTAACTGAAATAGTGGGTGGTTTGGAGTGTGGCTTAAGAGACAATTTACTTGTAGCTCCTACAAATGCCTTTGTTCCTGCTTCCACAGGACTTTCACAACAGAGAAAATCTAGTGCACTTCAGGGATGTACACACACAGAGTCAGCTACAGCCTGGTTTTCTGCTTACCCCAGCCCAGCTTCTACTCACACCCTCTGGTTTCCTGATGTTTAACTGCTCTGCAAAAAGTTTGCACAGGTGGGGGACACCAGCATTGCAGCGAGCCTGGAGCAGACATGGTGACAGCCACAGCCTGTGCTGGCTCTGCACAGGCTCAGACAGGCAAGGAAATGAGGAGATGCCTTCGTTACTGAAACAGTGTGCCCAGCCCTCGCAGGGCCATGGAATTGTCATCCTTGGTTCATCCTTGGTGACTCATTCAGCACCTGAAGAAGCTCCCACTTTCCATGAAGTGCTGCAGACTGTGGATTTTTTGCTAGAGGGGAAGGGCGAGCTCTGTTTTCAGTGACATGCGGTGATGTTACACCTACTGGTGATTCATCTCGTAACTGGAGGGAGCCATTAAATGATCAGGAGATTAGCAGCAGGGAAAGATCCTTGGCACACAGTAATAGATCCATCTAGAGAACTCCCAGAAAGTTCTAGCTGTTAGGTGAGTGCATGGCCAAAACACCAGAATACAAGATCTACTGCTCTTCTCACTAAGCAGGGAGGTGGATTAGACCCATTACATTTTCCTGATATAAGGTGCCTCCACTGCCAAAATCTGAGTTTGAAAGTTGTGGAGCCACAGCAGGCAGGGCAGGATATGGATTATCTTCCCTCTTAGTGGGAGTCTGAGAAAATCCCCCCTTATGGGTCTCCGCAACAGCCAGCTGTAGAGAGGGGTAAATCTTTTCTCAGCTTTGTAAAGCTCCTGAAGTACTTTTCAGCCAGTGATCTCATTACGCTGGAAGATATCCAGGGACTGTGAAGGGAACTTTCATCAATGTTATTACAGTCTTGTTCTGAAACACCCTACCTTTTTTCCTTGCAACGAGTGAGTACGTACGTGTGAGCGCGTTCACTGACGCACTGTCCTTTCAGGACTCGTTTTTAGGTGTGCAAGGATTTCTGGTGCTCAACCAAAATTGCCAGATCCTGTGTTGTCAGAACATAATGCAAGGAGAAATGACATCTCCCCTGGGTCCTTGTATCTCTTTCCTCACATTAGGTAGGCAGCCAAGTGAGCAATTCACTTCCTGTTTTCAATTTAAGATGCGTTAGAAAAGTAGTTTTGGCACCGCTGGTGTGGCTCTCAGATGGAGCTGGGGAGCCTTAGCTAGCTGCCAGCACACAGCCGCTCTGCACTCAGGGTGAGCAGCCACCTTTGGTTGAACAGGCTGCATCGGCGGCCTCTCAGATTGACACTTCCTCTTCTCAGGAAAAGTGAGTGTGACTATGTCCCCCCCAGTGCTGTGGAGGATTAGCACAGAAAAGAATCAGCTCCAAAGTGGAGCTGAAAAGCAGCTACTGAATACAGTCAAGAAGAAAACCACTTAAACCAGGTGAGAACAGGAACTGTGACCCTCCATGTTTCTCACCCTTCCACCAGCAGCAACACAGCAACCAGACGATGCGCAGGTAGGTACAGCCAGTGGGGTAAGAACCAGCCTCAAGAGTCCTCTGAATATGATGTGTGCTATTTTATGAAACCTCTGCTGTAACACCTCTTCCTTCCCTGTTCAGCAGTGAACATATTTAACTAGAAAGCAAAGACAGAGTGGGCTGGCTGTGATGTACAGCCAAAGCAAAATTAACCTACTCTTTAAACGTGCCTTTTTTAAGCTTTTGGGGACAAAAGCTGTGACACTGTCTGTAGAGGACTCGGCAGCTTAAGCCCCTTAATACTAAATTATATTAGTCATATTTTTAACAGCGTTTGTGCTAGTAGCGACAATTCACTGGCTGGGAATCAAAAGGTAAGTTCGATAAATATCTAGTGAAGGAAGAATGTACTTTGAGTATTGCATCATTATTCTAAGAGCTGGCTGCTTTATTCCATTTGGGAGCAAGCTCAAATGTGCGCTTTAGCTGTCAATTAACTTGCTCTCCTGCACTTTAAATTAAAAAGGGTTGTTTTCAGGCTCTGGCAGAGGAGCTGCAGAAAGTCTTGACGGGGCAATTCATGATGCTACCAGCTCTTGCTGCTGAAACTCATTACCCCCGTGCCTGAGTCAGAGAAATGGAGGGTGTAGCCAGCCACTGCTTCAGTGCAGGGGCCAGTCTTTAGACTGAAGCCGACTTACGCTGCCAGTGAAGATCATCAGCTTGCACCAAGATAGCTGTGGTGTGGGCAGTTGAATACTTGGGGTGGAAAACTTCAACAGAACAGGGAGGGTGAAGTGCAGGCACCAGTAACTTGTACCTCTACCATGCTTTGTTTGAGTGCTATAATCAGAATGTACTTAATTATATTAAGATAGCTCTGCTTGGAGGCACATACCTCACATCTGATATGAAGGTGGTCAAATTCAATTTATATTTGCTCTCACTCTGCATTTCACACTTTATTGCTCATCCGCACTGGCAAGGTGGTTTCCAAAACTGAACAGACAGGAAAGCATGATGCTGTAGCTTTTTGGTACGCTGAAACTATAGTAAAATGATATTGCCTAACCTGGACAGCAAGAATAGAAAAGGGAACTCAAATGCACAGCATCCCAGCATTTGGTAAATTTTTAAAGAAATACCCAAAATAAATAGCTGGCACCATTAAGAAATGTGTAATATTTCTCCTGTTCGGTGAAAATATCTTCCTTGCCCACAGCACATCGACAGCACCTAGTAGTGGCACCTGCTCAGCATGCCTCAATTGTAACTTCATTAAATGCCTTATTTTGTGCAAAAGTTTTTCCTTCTTGGTCTCGGTGAGACCACCATTCCTGACCAGTCTTGAAGCATAATCACTAACAAGGGGATTCAATTTTTGTTTCTCCTGGTGTTAAGTCTCAGTACCACTGACATAAGCAGTTTTGTTGAGTGCGCTAGACAGACCTTATTGCTCTGGACTGCCACAGTCCTCTCTTCTACCTCGGTTATGCAACAGGTAAGAGTTCTTGGGTTAAAGCAAATTTTAAAGCTTTATTGGTCTAAATAAAACAGTACAAAACATTTTTACAATAGAACCTGGTTATTTTTCTGTGATTTAGCAAAACCAAGGGAACGGTCTCTTTGCATGCAGAATTCAGGACACACTGCTGACCTTGCACACCAGGCCTTCACCTTCCAGAACGCAGGCTTCAGCTCAGTGAAATATCTAACTTGCTGCAGGGGCTGCAGTCTTCTGACACAGCCTGCCCAGCAGTCCAGCCATTTGTAAAAGGGAGTTCACACCTTCTGCTATCTTCATATGAGTGTACCCAATTTCCTGGTGATAAAGACATTGTAAAATCTTCTGTTTTCTTCCCCAGTCTATGTATAGTATGACTGATGACTAAATAGAACATATCCCTTCCTGCTAAGAGACCAGCTTCAAGTCACTCAAACTTCAGAGAAGTGTATCTTCTCATGTAAACCAACCAGAATGCCTTTTTTTTTTAAATCAAAGCCTGTATTTCCCTATTTCCTTTATAAGAAACAAGGTGCATATATTTGAGGACAGGTTTCAAATATTAGGAATTATTCCATTATACCAGTTTACCATTTGTCAACTGGCTGTTAATATAATTTAATATTTTACTATCTACTGGACTAGAATCAAGTATGCGCTTGAAGAAAGTTCTCAAGGAGTTATTTAAGCCTTTAATGTAAGTAATAAATTCAGCCAGCATTATGTTTGTCATTGATCCTAGCTGATCACTAAAGTGACTTTTGGCACTTCTGTGGGTGGTTAGACATTAAACTTCAAGTGACCATTCTTGCTGACAAACTGATGATGGAGAGTGGGAAAGAAAGCAGTAATAATAAGTTAAGAAATACGTTTTTCACACTAATACATAGCAAATCTCAAAGAGAAAAACCCTGAGGCAGCCCCTGTATTAGGGATCACATCCTCTTCTTAAAAAGGCCCAAAATACCCCACCAGGAACTAGGTTAGTACTAACCTTGATAAATTCCAGTTTCAGATATTCTGGCATTTGATAGGTTTTACACACACGGAAGATGTTGCCAATCACATCTTCTGGAGAGTATCCAAGTCGCCACAGGTGGGCAAGAATCTGTGCAGGCAAGAATAATCCCTCATTTATCTGCAAAACTTATCAGGTGAGTCAAGTATATTCACTTTTGGAACAGCTGTATATAACTACTGGAACTGCATGTACTATTTATCAAGTGATTTAACCTCAATTGTTTAGCAAGTAATTTCAATACAACTTATTTGTTTGCTTGTTGGCTTATTCATCTGAACAGACCCCTGCATAAAAAGGATTTAATTCATTGACTCATCTGCATGGTATTGCCCTTATCTTAAAAAACAACACACACCGTGAATTCTTCGAAACAAAAAAGAGTTCTGTAGAGAAAAAGCATCTGTCTATGCAGACACAACACATGAAAACCAACCTTGTATGCTTCATCAATATTTGCATTTATGCAGTGTTGTATCATTTCTTTCACAAGCAGAGGATGAGGCTCGTCACATACCTATATCAAAGGGAAATATTATACTTCAAAATATTAGAAGACTCTGCATTAAACCGCTGGTATTTTCACCAAGCTTCTATACATTTGAAGTAGTGAATCAGACACATCCTATAATACAGATTAAGTTTTAAGTAATGTGACTTTTCTGGTAACACAGCTATCCTGCCATGGCAGACTCAATAGCACAAAATGAGAACACCCAAGTAATACGGTCAAAAGTTATCACTGTGAAATTTCCCAGCAGTTATGTGATTCATGTACTTTGAGAGAGCTGGAAAGCCACAAAGTCTCAGACGTGCCATTAGGGACTGCTAGCGCTCTCTCCCTTTTCAAAAGGCACATGCACTTTTTTATGGCCTAATGCTGTAATTGCTACGTACATAGTGCTGTCTGCAAACTGGCAAAGCACTTTCAAGGCTTATATATCTGATGGAAGTTGTCACACAGCTGTAGTGCTAAACTTCTAGCATCACTGTTTTACGCTGTTACTAACCTTAAAGACATTTTCACTGTTTATAAAGCCAAATCCAGAATATGTGGACTGTAAGTTGTTTAATGCCTGTGAAAGAAAAAATAAGACTTCATTTATTTTCTGAAGTGCTCTACTTCTCACTCCCCTCCTCAGGATGAAATACACTCTTCAGAAAATGATGCCAAATAAGCAGTTTTCAATTGAGCAACAGAGCAAACCACAAATGTATGCAGACTTTGTTTCCTCCCTCAAATTTGGTATCCAGTTCCCGCCAATTCACTTTTAAGGAGCAGATCCATTTTAAACCTCAGAAAATCAAATACTTTAGTTACTCTTGTGCCACAGGTCACATCCCCTTTGCTTTACCTCTCCAAAGATAAGAGCCACAATTCAAAAGTTTTTTTGCTTTAAACAGAAGTCTTTGTTTCACTGCCTTTCTTCTCTTACCTGTCTCATATCTCCTTGGGCTGTGAAGATAATGGCTTCTAGACCATCATCTGTATATGGTACATCCTCTTTCTCAACAATTTTCAGTAGCCTTGCAAGGATTTGTGAATCTGTCAGCTTGGTGTAACGCAGCACTGCACACCGGGATTGAATAGGTTCTGAAGACAGAGATGTGTACTTAGCATTTCCCTCTTTTCTCAAAAAAAAAAACCCAAACATTTGTTTGCATCTTGGAAGAAGCTATTTCAGTTTCCAACTCTTTATTTGTCATCTTTTAAAGAAAAAGAATATGTCTGCTCCAAACAGAATATAGCATCTCCTTAAGCATATACAATTGTTATAGTCCTTCACTTGAGCCCAAATGCTACTTGAGTTTTCCCAGATAAGTGCAAATATATACAAAGCTCAGCTTCTTCAGTTCTCCTGGTTTTCTGAATGTATATCATGCTATTTTAATGGCTAAACAAGAAAAGTCTAAAGGTCTACAATGTGTTACCCTGTAGGCAAACTTAAAGATTATGTTTCAGAAAGGACAACAAAAGGGGTTCAATACCCAGTAAACAATACATCAAACATCTTAAACTGTAGCAGAGTTGGACAGAGATTAAGCCCAAAGTACGAGAAATCAGCTTCTGCAGTCATGTGTACCACTATCCATCAAAACCAGCTGTTCACAGGGTTCACCGGCTACACAAACATACTCTTATTAGCTGGATGTACACATGGTTTGATTTTTCAGAAGTACCATGGTTTCTTGCAACAAGCAGGTCCAAGGTATTCCTGAAAACTGCCTTGGAAGTTAGCCAACAGTATGGAGAACATATGACAAAAACTCCCAGGGACTAGCAGCACTTTACCTATGATTTTGTCAGAGGCATTGCACGCAAGTGCAAAGCGCGTTGTTTTGGAATAAATTTCCATTGTTCTTCTCAATGCTTGCTGTGCTCCATCTGTCATGCTGGGAGAGAAAAGAGTTAGGACAGATTTTGCCCTTCACTGACTTATAGGTGCAGCCTAATTGCTATTTTTATACAAGCTTCAGAGTTTACTGATATTAAACCAGTGCTTTGTAAATTACTTGATATTCTGGCTTGATAAACTAAGCAGCTTTTTCTAGTCATGTGAACAAATCACCCTGCAACGCAGGTAGTCACCAAGACCTCCATAAAACTAACAAGCAAAAATAAATCATTAATACTTTGAAGAATACTGCTAAGAATACTACTACTTATATGCAGATGGAGGATAATGTCCCATTTTCACCCAGTGAAATTGTCTATGTAAGCCAGACTCTTTTCCAATGGAAAGAGCCAGTAAACTGGAAGATGCTATTTCACATTCAGCTAAATCACAAAGTGCTTCACCCTTTGAAGCAATGATCTCTGCTTGATATGAGTAATCTCATAAGAACCCTGTTCAATGTATATTTATTTCCTAACTAATTATTTTTGATAGCCTGATAGAAACATCTAAGACTGTTCAAGACAGCAGCTCCGCAGACAGGATTGATGCAACACATTTCACATAGTGGCTGAGGTCAAGAAAAAAACAACGTACCTGTCTGCTTCATCAAGGATGATTATTTTATGCCGACCTTTTGGAAGCGTGACCTTTTGCTGGGCAAACATTTTGATTTTGTTTCTCACAACATCAATGCCTCTGGAACAATAATTCAAGTGATTCATGATCAGTTGGGTGAAATCACATAATAGATTTTATTCAGCAGCCACAGTGGCTGAAGCACTCCTGAGCTCCCTATTCTCCTGCTGTTTGTTCCTGCCCCTTCAGCTGTGCCAGTATAACTGTTGTGAAACCATGTGGTAAGCCAACTGCCTGACTGATTCAGATTTAAACACCAATAATCCTCATTTTTGGAGGCTTTGAAAAAATAATTTAACAGTATCAGTAACCTTACAGTACTGCCACAAAATTACTTATGTTTGGCAAAAGGTAGGGGTAATAAATGAACAAGGACAGAAGCATTTAACACTGCTTTGCTACTCTGCCAGTACTTCATACAGCTACATCCACAGACCCAGCTATAACTCAGAAGAGTTTAAGAAAAACAGCTGGACAGACTGCATCATTTTAGCACACCACCGGTGCCTTCCTAGACAGAGTCCCAACAAAGACTTACTTTTAAAAATAAAATATCTTACTTTTTTGTTCTGTTTAGAAAATGAATGTTGTGATTCTATAGCTCTTCTATAATGGATATTAACAAAGGCAGGTAAAATGTATTGTACTCATAAAGAACCCTCTAGGAAATGTCCTCAGAATACTTCGGGATGGGTCTGCTACAGAACTTGAGAATTATAATCAGCCCTTAGTGCCTGATCCTTGGGGTAGAGTCAGAGTCCCCTACATACCTAACACCCTTATCCTACATTTTAATCCCCAACTGCCCTTACGGCCCTAATTTCTACCACTTCACTTCTTTTCCTAAGCACTGAAGAGTTTCATTACAACCAACTTGCTCACTTTTCATTCTTAGGAGGATTTCATGAACGCTGGAAGCTCAACTCTTTAAAGTAAATTCAAGAAACCAGTACTGTTATGGATTCTGCACTCCATCTGTTTCTATTTTTGTACGTGAAAGTATCTATCAAGTTCATAAAACATCAAATAATAATATCTATGTTGATAGCTGGACGCCAAAGATTGCCTAACTTTTAGTTGGAAAAACTGCATTAAAATAAGTATTAGAGGCCTTCATATAGCATTAAGCCTATCAAGCCAGCCTGAGTTGAACTAAAAATAAAAATGGATATTTACTTCCTCATTAAAAGTATAATAAGGTTTATTCATTCTTACCTGTCATTTGAGGCATTCAGCTCCAAAACAGCATCCTTTAATGCAGGACCAAGCAGAGCACGAGCCAAGCAGAGGATACTGGTGGTCTTACCTGTTCCTGGAGGACCCTAGGAATGCAACAATGCAGCAATTGCTGGTAAGTTTAATGTCATTTTCTAAGGTGTACTCTCTACAAAACTCCGCAGTCATGAAAAACAGCTGCCACAGAGGAACTGCACAGAGAGTATCAGACTAGAGGCTGCCTGAGTTCAGGATCCTGCCTCCAAGAGAGGAGAGAAACGCTGCAGGGAGAAGCACAAGACATGCTTCAATAGGCCCCTGAGGGCCAAGTAGTTTTTAACAAAAAGTTGTTCACTACTTTGTATTCTGCCAATTACACTGCTCCATGACCATACAATCAACATCTCCCTTACCAATATATTCAGGCACAATGCAAATCTATACTGGCAGGCTATTGTGGCTAGATTTCAGACGCCAGGACCAACGCAGTGAAATACAGTACAACACAGCAATACTTACAGCAATTATAATATTTGGTACGTTCCCCTCTTTTGCAAAGACCTAAGAAAGAACAATAACAAAAAATTATATAAGAAAATAGTGGGAACAAAGAGTTTCCAATTCTATTCTAAGCATGAAAAACAAAGCTAACCCATTCCTTTCTTCCCTGCTGCTTGCTTTCTTTTGCTGCTTTTGTATTTTTTCTAATTGGACCATTAAAAGTCAGTGCCCAGAATAGTATGGAAAAACTTATAAGTACTTAATCCCATAGGTCTTTAGTACTCTTGCTTTCTTGTTTCTTTCTGTTGTTATACAAATTATATTTATTCATTGAAACAATATTACAACAGCTACAAATTTTCTAAGTTGTATCAAAACAGGGCCAATTTAAACAATATCCCAATTCAAAAAGCCATATTTCCTTAGAACACCACTCAAATGTGTCCTAAAACGTGTATTTCTCAAGTAAATCAGAAAGGTTTTTTTCCATATACTCAAGTATGGATGTAGAAATACAAAAGTGCTTTTACTGGTTTGTAGATCTATGCAGAATTATGTTTTTTGAGCTAACCCATAAAAAGATAAAGGGACAGCTACACACCTCCAACCTGCTCACAGTATCTTCATTTCCAACTATTTCACATAATTTCATGGGTCTGTATTTTTCCACCCTGTAAAAGTAAAGCCCCACACACTTCAGCACATCTAATAAAACTTTAACAGCGCTTTACGCTGCTAGAAAAGGAGCATGGCAGTAAGATAACACGGGACAACGATGACTCGATGTGTCTTCAGCGCAAACGCTGCAGGGTCCACCCCAACTGCCAAACGCAGCATTCCACAACACTAATGCCATAATGGTTGTTTTACTTCGATTAGTGTAACGAAGGAAAAGGACGAAAAACACGCTAACTTGGACAGGAGTTCAATGCCTCAGTCTGGTACCAGGGCTAAGCAGAGATGCCGCCCCGGGCGCTCTCCTCTGGTTACCAGAAGGCAGGGCTGACTTTGTCTGGGCTCCAGAGGGACTTCTTGCTTTCCCCCCGAGGCTGCCCGGTGCCTTCTCCCCGCTGCTCCTGCAGCTCAGCGGGCCCGAGGGGAA